GTTCTTGACGGAATTATGCTGATTACTTTTTTATCATTTTACTATCTTCTAGGTCTCTATACATGAATTATTTTTATAATTCCTTCCAGTATCTTTTCAGGAAGACAAGCCAGCCTAACTTTCTGTAGTTCCCAGGTTCTTCTTCTTTAATCTTTTAAAACTGGATACTGACTGTCCTTCTTAGGGCCTTTGGACTTTCTTGTCCTCCATGAGTTCTTGAAGATAATTGCAAATTGTTCAGAGATTGCCTTGTCTAGTTCCTTAAGCACTCTAGGGTGAGTGGCATCAGGTCCTGCAAACTTAAATACATCCATCCTTTTTTAATATTCTTTACCTTGTCTGACTTTTGGTGTTTTTATAAATCCTTTTCTTTTTTCCTTCTATAACACTTTCTAATAGTAATTCAGTGTGAGCCTTATCTTTTCTTATTTTATCCCTGCATGCTTTTGCTATCCCTTCATACTCATTCCAGATTATGTGCCATTGTTTCCACTTTCTATATGACTTTTTTGTTAATTTTTAGGTTCCTTATAGTGCCTGAAGCACTCATACTCATCTGTTACTATACTTCCTATCTTTCCCCTACATCAGGAGAGTTTGTTGTTAAATATCTAAAGCCACTTCTGGACTGCCTCCTCCTGAAAGAGTCCAGTATGCAACCTACATGCCTTGAGGCATGTCTTGTACAAGATATAGCTAGTTCTTTCTTTGACATCATCTTGATGGGGTTAGACGGTTTTCAAAGGAATCATAGGTATGGGGCTTCAGGAGTTAGAACTAGTGATTTTTTTAAAAACCTTTTTCTCCCTTTTAATTTTGGGTCATTATTCAGTCAGTGCACTTATAGTTTTGGCAGTCAAAATATTGCTGAAAAGTTTAGTCTTTTGAATAACATATAAGTATCTGGATCATTAGTAGTAATAAGAAATCCCATTAGAATATTTAGAACAGTCAGAATGCTAAATCGAGTGTCCTGGCAACTTGGTTATTTGGGTCTTTTATCTAAAAAAAATACTTGTTTATCCAAAATGAGGTCATATTCCTCAGTGTATATCTAGAGCAATCCAAAGACCTTCACTTATCTCAGACTGTTTATTCTAATAACTTTAATCTCCCACCCCTTTCTGATAAATTATACCTGACTATAATTATATCTTCCTAAAATTTCCCTCCTTATTTCAATTGGATATAACTTCCTTTGCTTCCTACCATAAATTCTTGTGTAGTACTGTGTGCTGTTAAACAGCTGCTGCTGTTAACCCTACAGGCAGCCGAATTCCAGAGATGAGAGAAGTAATTTTTATGTACAAATAATTTGGAAAACCTTTTTGTGTAGTGCTTGGAGACCATGGTAAAACAGATTTGTTTTCACGTTATCAAGTCCAGGTCTCCATTCAATATAAAACTATTTTATACTTGGTATAACAACTGATGGAGCCTCATTGGAGTTACTCCTGATTTTCATGTTTGTAAGCAAAAGGAAAATGAGAATCATTATATCAATGCAGGAAATTTATTTTTACGGTGATGAAGACAGGAGTCAATCACAAAAAGTTAATGAATAAGCCTGCTGAATCTCCTATGTTAATTTCATAGCAAATGTAACCGTCAAAATCCATTGAGAAATACATTCAAGATGGTCATCCATGAAAGGAGCCCTCAATGTGATGTGTGATTGTGAATATGAGATGGATCAGAGGGAAGGTTAATCAGGATGTCTGGAAATAGGCACTGTACTGAGCATAGGACTGGGAGTCAGCAACCCTTATACGATAAAAGAACACATCCTAGTTTTATTGTATAACAGGTGCATTTACACATGCAAATGCTGCTAGATGGGTTTACTCCACAGTAATTTACAGTGGAGTAAACCCACCCTGGGCAGGCATTTAGGAGCAGATTTGCTGCCACCCTGCTGTGCTCCTCTGCAGCTGCCAGGGGGAGCTCCAGGCTCCTAGCAGGGGCTGGGAGATTGCTCCCTGTCCCTGGAAACTGCCTGCTGCCAGGGTGGGCTTTGATGGTGGAGCCCCGGCTAGGACAATGTCCCCCTGCCTACAGCTGGGAGCTCCTCACCCTGGCTCCTCAGTCACCTGCTGCTGGGGCCAGGGGACATTGTCCCAGCCCACGCTCCAACATTGGAGTTTGCCCCAGCAGCAGGCAGTTTCCGAGGCAGGGAGCAATTTCCCAGCCCCCGCTCCAATCGTGGAGCTGTGCCCAGAAGCTCCCTGCTGCCAGGGCGGGGGGACATTGTCCCAGCCCATGCTTCACTATTGGAGCCTGTCTCAGCAGCTGGCAGCTCCTAGGGACAGGGAGCAATCTCCTGCCCCTTGCTGCCTGGCTAACTGGGAGCAAATGTGCTCCTAGTCAGCCATCTACACATGCCTTACTGCACAGTAACTACTCTGCAGTTAAATTGTTACCTGCATTTGCAGTTAGTAAATTCACCAGAGAGTATACCAATTTACTGTGCAGTAAGCATCTGCATGTGTAGACAGTGATGCTTACTGCACAGTAAATTGATCTACTGTTCAGTAAAGCATCTCATACAGATGGGCACGCTGTGTAGTGAATCCATGTTTTTGCTTTGAAAAGGTAAAATATGACTGAAGACTTGTTTTTTTTTGTAAATACTTGTACAAAAATACACAGAAAAGGTAGGGGTTGATGCCCTTGCTAAATAAGAGCTGGACTAACATTTGAGGAGAGACATAAAGAAAAATCATGAGCACTTGTTTGTTAAAATTCAAAATTTTAAAGATTTTTTTTTAAATATTGGAATTACTGTAGAAAGTTTTCAGCTATTTCTTGAGTTTGTTAAAATGGGGGTAGGCATTGAAATAGTCAAAATGTGAAATGTCAAGGTAAAATGTAATTCAAATGCAAAAAATGAATCTGCTAGCTTTCATTCAAATATATTTAATGTACTGAGTGTTGCTTGTGATTTTGGTGGGGACTTAATTGTTGTAATGGATTGGGTATAAAATAAGGTAATTCAATTAGAAGCAGAAACAATGTTGTTTGGATTTATTCTTAGGGCATGTTTATGTGGAAACAGTTAGGAAAGCTAATTCAAATTACTTTTTAAAGTGAATCATTTAAAACCTTGTTAAACATTATGTGGACCCTCCAACTCAGAATTAAGGTGGTCTTAATTGAGTTTTGCACACTGTGTTGGAAGTGAGTTAAGATAAATCAGAATAAAACTTCCTTAATTGTGGATGAGCCTGTCCAAAATGTCCAAGCATACATTTAAGTGTGGTTTCACTTTGAATTCACAAATTTTTAGCTATTTTGAAGTAATTTTCTTTAGTGTCCCTGTGTAGACATGAATCTTAAGTAGAGTACTGGCACAGATGACATCTTTTAAAAGTAAGGAGCAAATCCTGCCAAGAGGAGCACAGGGAATTTGCTCTAGTATATAGGGTACTGTAGTAAAAGACAGGAGAACAAAGTTCTGATTCAGCAAGTTATGCAGATGGCTGCTTAATGTTTAGCACCTGAATAGACCCACTGTAGCCAACAGTCATATTCAAAACTTAACAATGAAACTTGTTTATGTCAGGGCCATGTTTTGTTAACATGTCTAACTGATAGTATATATGACACTACTTCACTTTTCTTTATTTCAGTTTCCCCAGCTGTAAAAAACAATCCCTGTAGATAGAGAGAGATACCCCTGTACATGTACATATGCGCACACACACACACACACACACTTTAAAATCCGGAGGCCATTGAAATCAGTGGAAACACTCCAGTTGACTTCAGTGGGGCTTGAATCATGTCCTAGATATCAAACTGTTGTTTTTAGTTACCTTTACTTTATTTTCAAAATTCAGAATATGAGGGAACTTTCAAAGATGCGTACAGCAATGAGAATACACAGGCACTCCATGGGAGGGGAAAAGGATATTATTGCATTGCTAAAGCATTATGCTCTGCTCCATCTACATGGATCAGTATGACCAGTTAGGGGGGTTGTAGATTCCAATAACTGAGCAAATGACCTGCCAACAAATTCAGGGACACCTCAATTACAAAAGGGGACAGTAAAAATCAACCTGTGGTTCCTAATCTGTAATGCAGAGATTGTCAAATCCCTCAAGACTTCCTTTTCAAAATGTACAATATGTAAAACCTGTTTAGGATTTGGATTGGTATAGTCACATAAACGGTGTGCTGCTGCTGCCTGTATGCAGTATGTGCTAGTGTGTATGCTTGGCAGTGGCACAAAGGGAGGCAGTTGATGATATTCATAGGATTAAAGGCCTGATTCCTGGGGACACACTTGGTTGGATGCAATTACAATGCCTCTCAGGCATTTGATACCAGAAACCCCTTGACAAACTGTTTGAGCAGACGCGAGTCGCAGCATCCTATTGTGAGTGAATGATGGCGGAGCTGGCTGGCTTGTCATCATTCTCGAAAATTCTGTGGCCAGTGAACTCCCTCTTCCTCTCCCACTCGCCCTCTTTTCCTTTTCACCACTGCAGGGACTTTTTCTAATTTGCAGTTTTCCTTTTCCTGACGTACACATGGTAGATACAAGCTGGTGGCTTGCAGACTGCGTCTGTCTGGAGATAGGCAGCAAGCTGATGGATAATAATGCTCCAGGAGAATGATTATGCAGCAGTTATTTAAGGATAGGCTTTTCGGGGTATGGCAGCGCATGAGCTGGTAATGATTTTCTTTTTAAAATATCAGCTTTATGTGATTTATGAACATTTAAAAAGACACCACCATTCTTGTGTGGAATTCAGGATTCAGTCTGCTGAATGTTTAGAGCTGCATTCGTACACATTGCATTAATTAAAAATGTATATATAATAATGCTGGTATCTCTTTATATATATTTTGTGTGTGTGTGTGCATGTATATTATCTGTATATCTTTGTACCAGTTTAATGAAAACAATTTTCTTCCTCCCCAAAGGCTGAAGAAAAGACTCTGTTGCATCAAAAATAAAATATATTTTTACTCTTTTTGGTTTATTTTAATAGATTCATCAGCCTGCATACACTAACTTGACGCACTGACTAAGATCTGCTTTTTCACAGATCAAAAAAGGTATGACGGCACATTTTATTTTAATATTTTTACAAACATTTAGGTATTTGAAGGTTATTGCTGATAGTGTCTTCTAGTAATGTCTGTATTGCTTCATTTTGTCATATTCTGCTATGCTACATCTTTGCATAGGTATTCAGTCTCATCTTACTATGTACACTAAAGTTATTTTCTACATGCATGTGTAAACTCAGACTACTTGATCTTTGTTGACTGCATTGTCAGATGGGCATTTCACCCGGGGAAGCTACCAAAGGCTGAAAAAGACTTCATTACCTGTCTGCCTGAGCTGATTTAATAGCCCTGTGAAAACTGTATAAAATCCTCCATCTGCATTGGGATCAATAACATTAGAAATGGGTTCTTCTTCATACAGGTTTGATTGTGACATAAATCTGTGCAGTAGGGGTTGGGGTTAAATCCAGTGACTTGCTCTTATCTAGTAACAATCTATCACAGAACACACAGCTGAAGGCAGAGATAGCTTAATATGATGTATCATATTCATGAAGGAAGGAAGGGAAATCACTAACCCTTTCCGTTCTGTCAGAATATGTAGAATACCTCAGCTTGTGGTTTCATACATGGAATTTTAATAGGCTGCCAATGAGGGGCAATGCTGGAGTAGCATGTCATGTATATTTTTTATATGTCATTCATGTTTAGGAGCCTGCTTCTGCATGATGATACAAAAAAGACTAAATCTGTTTTTTAGGAAGATTTTTTTGCCAATACATAAATGAGAATATGTAGTCATCTCTTTCTTAGTATCTCTGTTTTGCTCTAATTCTTTGATGCTAGCTTCATAGAATAGTGAAAAAATAGTGAACCCTGCTAGTGAGGGCATACCTTCATAATGAGGACTTTGCAAGCTGGTATGTTTGGGTGGGATTTTCAATTGCCTATATGATTTAGGAGTAAAGATCATATTGGCTTCCAATGAATCTAGTATTTTTAAAACATTTAAGCAGTTTTGAAAATCCTACCCTTTGTCTCCTGCCTAGACAGGATATTTATGATCATCACCTATTCACCTTTTACCTGTTATATTTCTCCCAGCTTCTAACCCATAACCTTCTGTGTTCACTCTACACGTTTGTTCTTCTTATACATGTGTGTGTTTGTTAGGATGGGCCCTAAATTTTCACATACTTCACTACTATGTCTCATCTAGCTTTCTAAAGGGCATTGCAAAAATGAGATGGAAAAAAAAAAAAGTAAAGACATTTTCAAAAAAGACAGATCTTGTGGTATTACTAGATGGGATGAAACCAGGAATCATGGAAACTTTGTGAGAATGCCCAGTGTTCTTGGAATTGTAGTCCAGTACCCAGAAACGAGACATTTGATTAAGTTTTGGGTAAGCATGCAAACTCAATAGAACTTTTGGCCTTCTGGAATTCCTGAGAATGGTCTCTTATTAACAGCACTGATGACAACAAAGTTCACTTTGAAATCAGGTTAATAATACTTTTATGTAACACAATGTCGCCAATCATTTTTCAGGCACAGTTGATATATAGGTTCTGTTTCTGAAGCAAAGTGAACATGGTTTGCAGGTTTTCAGCTGGTCAGCTAATCCATTCTAGTTCTCACATCACGGATAGTAACTTCCTAAAATTTCCCTGTTCTCTAGACCATTTTACTTCTTGTTGAGGAAGAGGTGCTTTTGCTGTCTTACGGATCTCCCTGGATAAATAAAGTTCTTCAAAGGAAGTCTTCATTTGTTGTTTTCCAGAGGTTTCTTTTTAAAGTAATCTGTCCCTGATCTGCATTAACATTAGACTTGACAAAGTTGAGGGGCAAGGACAGCATAATGTAAAAATGAAACAAAACCAGGATTCATGATAAATAGCTTCAACAATTATTTGCAGCGCAATTCAAGTAATTTTCCTTTCCTCCACTTTTAATTTCACTTCCAGTATCCAAGGGCAACAAGCCAAACTGCAGTGAGTCCAGGTTTATTAGTGCTTTCCAAATTGTTTCAAGGACTAACAGTACTTACTGGTTTTGATGTCAATATTTAAGGTTTTGCTGCAGCATTGGAGACTGGGAAAAGAATGTTCTATACCCAGATAAAAATATACAAATAAAAGTGATGTCATAGTTAGCAGGCCAAATTGAGCTGCATAGTTTTTCACACGATCAGTGAATGATGAGTCAGTATCTAACAACGGGCTCCCTTTGGATTAATATTTTTCATCTCTTATAGGAATTCTTCTTAAGTATGCAGCATTTCACCAAACCTTTGTGATCTGAAAACAAAAGTAGTTTCAGTCACGAGTTTCTACATCAGGTTTGATTAGGGAAGATCTCATTTAAAAAAAAAAGAAAAAAACGTATTTAAATTATTTTGAAGCATCTTTATTTTTCTTGAAGGACATGTTGCAGTGTTTGCTCTGACAGGTTTCTGCTATGTTAGCTGAAGGCATTTAACCAAAGTTACAAACAGTACCTGCACAGTAGTGAAAAAAGCTGTTTTGAAATGGCGAAAAGAGGGGCTCTGTTGTTTTATATGACTAAATAGTGGAAGCTAAAGTTTACAGTGGCAGTGATGTAGTAGGTTACAGGTGAATGCTACAGCCTATGGTCCAGATGGATGCAGGGCCCTAAGAAATGCGTGGATTCTGTATGTCCCCACTGTTAGTTTCATTGGGTGTTACACTGGTGATGATGGTCTCTGTCTGTCTTAATTCTTGAGATAAAGTAGACATCTGCCTAAGAAGGTGAAGCAATGCAAATTCTTAGACTATTCCTTTTAGAAAGAATTAACCTTATTGGAAAGTTTAGCTTCCTGTTAAGTTCATTGCATAGTTCACCCCTGTCAGTATTGTCTTTTCATAAACCATGTAAGAAAACATCAAGCCAAGTCCCTGAACAGTAGTGCATAGTTTAGCCTTTTAATGTTAACTATAAATAAGGTCCCCCTTTAAAATATCTGAATGCCTCCAGCACCACTATGAGGCAGGGAGCTGCTGTTGTCTGTCATTGTACTGCTAGGGAACTGAAGCAGAGAGAAGCAAAGGCTAGGTCATACCTAGAAGGTCAACAGATCTTCCAGAGTTAGGCTGGATGGATACTGGGAATGGAGAGGCTTGTAGCATGGGTGGGCATTATGCATGGGCTTTAGGGCAGCCTTAAGATGAGTCATAATTATCAGCTTAAATGTAGCCTAACTAGCTTGCTTAAGGTCATATAGGCAGTCTGGTGGAGCCTGCAGTTGAACTCAGTTCACTCAAGAAGAAAGCTAGTGCCTTACCCTCCAGTTCATCCTTCCTCTGGTCCTCAATGGAAGACACCTCTTGTCTTCAAAATCCTGCAATCAGTCTCAGGAGCTTATGAGTGGGATCATTTTTTCTTACTGACATAGCTCATCAATGACGCTTCCACTGTAGGCTGCCCCCAAAGATCAAGTGCAGAATGAGACTGGGTGAAGGCTTGAGCCCAGATCTTTCACATGGCTGGAGGGTGCTATTAACTGGAGGATTACAGTGGTTGAGGTGCAGACCTGGAAAACTGGAGACAAAGGGTCTACTCTTGTTGCAGGCTGCGTGTCTCTATCTGGGAACATCATTGCATCTGCCTGTTCCTCCCTTTTCTTATATGTTCAAAAATAGAAAAAGGTGATGCTAACTTCTGCTTCAGTGGGGAATTCTCAGTGGGAGCCTGAATTCCTGAAGTTGGTAAAATGTTTTGAGATTCTTGAATAGAAGAAACTTTATAAAGTGCAATATTTCATTGTTGCACTTGGGTAACGCAGTGATGGGATATTAGTACTTCAGGAACTTAGAAGTGGCTGTAATAACAATAACAACAATAATAATAATAATAATGCAAAAAAGACCTGACATTTTGTTTCCCCAGGAACTAACTTGTTAATGGTTTTGTTCCCTGTGGAGCCTCTTTCCGTGTAAATAACATAGTGATCTCACATACTGAGCAGTTTCAAGGCAGAGATGATGAATGGAAGCCAACTGATTCACCTGTCCTGTGCTACCCAAAAGACTGTTCTTTACTGACAGAGGTCTCTCTGCCTGGAGAGAGGCTGGTATGTGAAAGCTGTGAAAACCAAGAAGAGATTGCACTAGCAGAAACAAATAAAAATACTGCTGGCTCACAGTTTAAAATCCTGGAACATCCTCTGAAAAGCTGGATATGCTAGCTAACCCTCACTCTCATTCCCTTTTGTGATCCGAAGAGAGTTTACTTTATTTGCCATCCGGTAAAACCTCTAAATAGTTGTGCACTGCAGCATTTTCATTGCCATTTTGGAGTACATTAATAGAGAACTTGTGAGAAATCATGGGCAATTTATTTTAATGCACTAAGCAACAGTCAACTCTAAATCACAAATGCTTTTTAGATTTTTTTTCTGAGTCTCTGCAGTTTTTGCAGTGAAGTGATTTTCTGGATGTGGCGGTTGGTGAATCAGGTTAATTTATATATCACATATATTCATATATTTGCAGTTGAAAATGTTCAAATGCCTCTTCGGCTAAAAGAAAAATGAGTCAGATTTAAGGAAGCTCCTTGCCACTTGTTTTTTGATACACAAGGTTAAGAAGTTCCCAAAAGTACTTGCAGGAAAGGAAAATAACATGGGAGGAGAAAAGACTTGCTAGGCCTGCATTTTATCTGCAGTATAATCTTTCCAAGATTATTACCCAAGTTCCAGTGATTCCTAAGGCATTTAGGGCCAGGTCCAAAAAGGGGTGTTACTTACTAATTACTAGGAAACGATGAGGACAGGGAGGTGTCTTAAATTCCACCCCTTATGGAGCTTACCTGCCTTATTATTCAGTGTTGCCAGGAACTGCTTCTGCCCACTCTAGATTCTCAGCCCTGAACCCTCTTCTGAAGGTAGGCACCTAAGCCCTTTCTTTCAGAAGTGGAGAAGGGGTGAAGTGTTTCTCTTTGCCATTCCAAAAACCACCCTTTCCTACCCCCCCCCCCCCCCCCCCCACAAGATGTTTGTGTATTTTGTGCTGTCAAAAAGTTAG